CGTTTTCTCTTAGTTGTATATTCAAATCAGTAATAGATTAAACCTTATTTAGATGATAGATCATACAGGTTTAACTCATTTAAATCTCTCAAATAACAAGGGATTCACAGTGACATCAGTTGAAGATTTTTGTAAATATGTCTTAAAAGGCAAAAACCCATTATTTGAAATAAATTTAAGCTTTTGTAATCTAGATAATGCTTCATTATCACTTATATTACCTAATTTGAAACATTTGAGATCATTAAAGTATATATTACATATATAATTTTAAAGACGATTCATTATTTCTTTGGTAAATTTAAATTCTTCAGAGAGTATTTTAGCATTGAGTAGTGCTATAATTAATTATACAGGTAATAAATCTTTAGATTATTTGGATGTGTCATGGAATTGGATAACAAATTAAGGACTTGAACTTTTAAGTGTAGCATTATTTATGTCAGTAAGATAAATAAACATTAAATCATTGAATTTAGAATATAATTAATTGACATAAGAATGTATAGAATCATTAGAAACGATATTAATGAAATTGAATATTGAAGAAATAAACTTATCAAAAAATAAAATATCAGAATTTTAAAATTAATAAGTCTTAAATAAAAAAATGAGTAGAGTTGATTTATCATATAATAGATTTGAAGAAATCCCAACAAATTTCTTCTTAAATGTTCTTTCTCTTAATTTATCAAATAATTCAATTAAAACTTAAGGAGCATATTAAATATCATAGGTTGTGAGTTCTAAAAAGGTTATGTGGATGGAATTAAATTTAAATAATAATGAAATTTGTACATAAGGATTTGTTTCTTTGATATATGCTCTTATAGAAAATTAAAGATTAATAAGTTTATCTGTGGCAAATAATAATATTAGTGGTGAAGGTATATTAGTTTATATTTTCAATCATGAACAATTAAATTTGTAATATTTAGATTTATCTTATAATTATTTAAGATATGATTTAGTTTATGCATTAATTTCTATGATGAAAGAATGTTAATTAAGAACATTAGTATTATCAAAATTAAGATAAGATGAAAATGATATATGTAGTGGAAGAGAAGAATTAATTGAAATTAAATGTACAAATTTAAGATAACTTGATTTTTCTGAAAATAGTTGTATGATTTCATCAATATTAAATTCATTATCAAAATAATTCAATAGAATAGAATATTTGAATTTAAATGGTTGTGAAATTAATTAAACACATTTGGTAGATGCACTTTCTTCTTTTCTATCTAATACTTAAACATTATAAACTTTATTATTGGCAAGAAATAATTTAGGTAAAATGGATGAAAAGAATTTGAAAACATTAAATGATGGATTCTTTAAAAATAATTCAATAACATATTTAGATTTATCATCAAACAAATTAAAAATTAAAATATTAAATCTTATTCCTGGATTATCTAATTGTAGATATTTAAAATATTTAAACATTAGTAATAATTTAATTTATGAAACAAAAAATCTTATTAATGATTTTCCTAAATTACTTTCTAATATTAATTTATAATATTTAGATATATCTAGAAATTAAATTGGAGGTTAAACACTCTAATCTGCACGTAAAAAATTGTTAAAATCATATCGTTAATTTCCATAAATAAAAATGTAAAAACAACAATTCACAGCTGATGATTTACATATAATTACATAAATTATTTCTGAATCACATTCAATTAAAAGATTAGAATTATAAGATAATGATTCTTTAGATTATATGAATAATGTAATGAAATTTGGTAATGATGTAAAAGTATAATCACTTTCCATTAACAAAATATTATTTAGATATGATAGTTTCAAGAATTTAATTAAAACTATTGAAGAAAATTATAGACATATAAGATTTTTAGAAATATCAAATACATTGTTATTTTAAGAATAATTAATAGAATTATTTTCTTCAATAAAATTGATAAAGAATTTAATTGTTATAATATTAGACTATTAATCATTTAAAGAAAAAGATGAGAAAGTCTTAGATACATTATATAGTTGTTTAAATTGTTTTAGAAATGTCAAACATTTTAGTGTAAGAAAATCTACTCTTAGTTTTTCATTCTATGTTTTTGTATCTGAATTACTTAGAATATCCTCAAAATTAATGGAATTAGATTTAAGTGGAAATGTTATTAATATAAATGATTTCTAAGTATTATGTGATGGATTATTTTCAAATTCAAGTGTCACAAGTAAATATTAATTGATATAATTTATAGCTTTAAATTTAAAAAATTGTAAATTGAGTGATGAATCAATACTTTAACTTATACCTTGTTTACATTAAAATTCATCAATTAAAAATATTGATATTTCTTAAAATGAACTTTCATTGAGTACATTTAATTAAATTGAACAAGTATTAGGAGGTCACAGAAGTTCTATATAAACTTTAAAATTATAAAATTTGTAAACATTTTGGGATATAGATTCCATTAAAAATCAAAGTCATGTAAGTAATCTTTTAAGCAATTTAAAACATATAGATTTATCTATGAATTCTAAATAAAATGAAAATATCATTTAATTGTTGGATCATTTCATTACAATGAAAATAATTGAAAATATATAAATATTGACACTCAATAATTGTGGTATTATGGATGATTAATGTGGAACTTTAGCAAAATTGATTGAAGATAATAAAATAATAAAATAAGCATCATTAATTGAAAACAGATTTACATGGAAAGGTTTCAAACTTATATTCGATCCTATTCTAAACAATAAGAGTTCTTTAATCAAATTAAATATATCAAAGTAAAATAATAATATGAAATTAGAAATTTTATTGATGAGTCATATTTTAAAGATATAACACCTGCAAAAATAATACCATTAACTAATTTTCGTTTATTAATTATAGATGGAAATAAGTTTAAAGAACATGCTTAAGGAATTACTTTATTATTATAAAAGAATCCTAGACTTTATATTTACAATAATTGGATGAATGTAACTGAAGCTTTTGCTTAATAAATAATTAATTAATATGTATTATTTGCAAGTGAGATTAATTTAACAAAAGAAGTGCCTCATTATCTTACATAATTGATTATAAGAAATACAAAATTAAGTGATTAATTTTTTATATGGTTTGGATCTCAATACTTTAAATTTCCTTATTTAGAAGTCATAGATTTTCGAGGGAGTACAAAATATATGACAAGTATGAGTAAAATGCACATGTACATAGATATAATAAATGAAAATTTTGTTAATTACAACATTATCGAAGTATGTTTTGATCAGAATTAAGCTGACCAGTAAATATAGTATTTAGAATTAGGCCTAATTAATTTGATGATGGATTATTCAAATATTGGTTACTCAATTTAAAAGTCTTTTTGTAAAATAAGAATCACATTTCTTTATAGAAGATGGGTTATATAGTAAATGAAACCGAATAAGTGAGATGGGGTAAAATTGGAAAATGGTTAGTACATTTAATAAACAAAACATTAAATTTAATTTAGAGTTTAAGTTATGATTTCAGATTTAGTAGTTCTTTACATAGTTATACAAGAAAAAGATTAACTAAAATTAAAATCTATATGACAATAGGTTCAATAGTTGAAATCATTAAAATAATGTTGGGTATAGGAGCATTATCAATGAGAATAAGTATCAAAGATAACTTAATAACATGTGTAGCCACAAATGGTTAATGTTTTCAAAATGATCTTCATGAAGGATTTTTTGGAGAAGCCTACGTTTTAATAATATTGATTCTAGCATAAACTTTTGCAAGTTTATTACTAGCTATTACAATCAGATTAAAGGCTACTCCAGATTATTGTATTTAAACTACAGAAATGGTAAGATTTTAAAAATTTAAATTTGCACATAAGAATGAAATATGGTTATGTTTTTTACAATTCATTATTTCTTTTAATTACTTTTTTGAATGCAGAATTATGGGATCAAATTTAGAAATTATTTCTTTTATTAGAGATAATGAATAAGATAACCTTATTGGGCTCAAAAATCGTATTATAGTAGTTCTTAGTTTTATGGCAGCATTTATATTCCTGAAAGCAATTTATTAAGCTTACATTACATTCAAGTTTCTCCTACTCTTTCTAAAGACTTCAAATGCAGATTAAGCTAATATCCTTTAATAATGCATGCTTAAAGTGCAAGCAGATCATATGCTTAATATAGAATAAGTATTAAGTAATTTTTGTCCTTAATCTGGAATATATATTAAAGGAAGATTGTGGAATTATAAGTAGATCTTTGAGTTAATTCATGGATTTATTGAATTTGCTATATTAGTTGTTGTTACTATTCTTGGAAAATATAGAAATGACTTCTTATATGAATAGAAGGTATCCAATATGTATACATCAACTGATCTAGTAACTATCATTTACTATATAATTACAACTATTAAAATCTTTATATATGTCTATTAGGCTTTGTTATCAAGACTACCATAATTAAAAGTATCTGATCTTAATGAAGTGTTATTATTAAGAAGATACCAAAAATTAGGTAATTCTTTATAAATTATATAATAAATACCTAAAAAAGAAAGGAAATAATCATCTTTATAATCTATTACTAAGAAGAGTGGTCAAGATTTTAAATTTGGGTCAATTATGAAAACTAAAAGTGATAGAAGCATTATATTACAAAAAAATACTATATAGTAGTTTGATGAAGAACTAGATTATATTTAAGAGAATATATAACTTCCTATGGGTCCAATAAAATATAAATCTATGAAAAGCATTTAATTAAATTCTTGATTTAATATTTATATAATGTTAATAGTTAAGATGATTGAATTTTTATTTAAAATATTTATATAATAATTTAAATAATCATTAGATATTTATTATATTCTACTTATTATCAATTAAAATTATTAAAAATTAATAAATTAAAGATATTCTAAATAATATATTAAAATGATGTGAATCAATTATTTTTAATTAAGAATAAATATATTATTAATTTATATGTTTTATATTGTTGTCAATTTACAAATTTCTTATAATTCTCTGCATTTCTTGTCAAAATATTTTCAATAGGTCCTATTAGTCTTATAAAAGCTTGATAATCTAAATATACAACAACACTATCAGTCTAAAATAAAAAATGTTATTTACTTCAGCTTAAATAGTGGCTTATCTTGGTACTTAATTAAGAAGAGCTAATTCACCAAAATAGTCACCACTTTAATATCTGAGAACTTCTTCATTTTATTTAAGTGCAATCAAAGTTCCTTTAACCACAATATAGAATTTATTTCCTTCTTCTCCTTCTTTAATAATATAATCTTAAGCTTTAAAATGTTATTCTTTTAATCCATCACATATTTGAGTCTTTTCATAAGAGTCAATAGATTTAAGTATTTCAACTTTAGATAATACATCTTCATAATGTTCTCTTCTTTTTATAGTTGCTTCTTTAACAATAGCATTAAATGTAGATCTATCTAATGCAAAGAGTACTGATTCAGTATTGGATTAAATGGAGGCTGCTCTTGGTGCATTGTATAGTAGAGCCAATTCACCAAACATGTCTCCACTTTAATATTATTTTATTAATTTTGGTTCTTAATCTTTAGAGAATCTTCTGAAACAGTCTAATTGACCTTATGCAACAACATATAATTCATTGCCATCATCACCTTGATTTATGATCCAATCTCCAGGATTGAAATGTTTTTCTTCCATAGCATCAATAATAATGTTTCTTTCATTTTAATCAAGTGCTTGGAACATAAATACACCATTCAATTTATTTTCTATTCTTTCTCTAAGATCTTATGATTTAGGTATGACTCTAGGCTTAAAGTCTTCTTTTTTATTGTAAAGACCATAAACTTCAGCACTTACAGAAGTACGAAATTGTTATTCTTTTTTTATTGTCTTTTCCATTTCATCTACATCATCTTGATTTTCTTCCTCAGAGGAAATGTGATATGTAATCTATTAACTTTGTGTTGCTTTAACATGATGTTTAGCTCTTCTTACTTCTAAATATTCAATCATCCAATCAATCTAACTTAAATATTTAAGTTACATAATTTTCTGGTTGTTTTTTGAATAATTCATAGATCATATTTTAGATAACATCATTAACTTTGGCTTTATAATTGGCAAATTTGTCCTTATTATTCATAAAATAATTATTAAGATCAAAACAAATAATATAATATTATTTATATTCATTAATTAAGAAAACGAGTTAATATCTTTAGCCAAATAAAAATATATGGACATTATAAAATAATTATTTAAATATATTATCTTCTTTATGTTTTCTTCTATTATATTTCCTATACTATTCTAATATCATTCAGTCTATACTTTATATATCATAATCTATTGATTTCTACTTTAAACAATTTCATTATACTCTTTGTTTTTAGAGACTCCAAATAGGATTATTTTTATTATTAAATGTTAAATTAAAAATTAAATTATTATACTAGCAACCCTTGTTTATTTATTTCAGATTAATGAGTTCTAATAGTTTTCATCATCTAATTATACAAAATTGAATAATTTACAATATCCCATTTATATTCTAATTATACTAATATAAAATTCTATTGAATTTATTATTTTATGTTTTCAAATTCAAACTCAAAATGTTTTATGGCAATATCAGTCAATCAATATTTATAATTAATTATATATAAATAAAAAAAGGTTGAGGAATCAAATGAATTCAAAGAATAAATGATATTTACAGACAGTTGAATAAATAAATTATATATATAATTAATAATGGATAACAATAACGAGAATGATGAGAATCAAGAGTTACTTAATGAGGAAGAAGATGATGACTTTCCAGAATATGCCAATGAAGCAAATAAGGAACTTAATGAAAAGGTATGGATATAGGTTTTTTGAATTTTAGATCAAATTAAAAAGAGGCATCATTCGAGATATCAATTCTAAAATTGAGGAAAAGAGTGATAAATTAAAAGTACTTTCAGAACACTTGAAGAACATTCAACAAGAATTACTTCACACTTAAGCATTGGTATGAATTGTATAATACTTAAGATTGACACAAAAAATAAAGAAATTGAAACTGAAGACCATTTGAAATAAATAACAGAAAGATAAATTGGTCGTCTTCAAAATGAAATGACTAAATAATAAAAGATGTATTATATTCATAGCTTATTTTAGAATGATCGAGTAACAAGAGAGATTGAATGATGTTCAGAATTCAATCTATAGAGGAAATGAAAGATTAGATAAATACAAGATTGAGATGAATTGGAATTAAGAAGAATTAGAATAATGGGTTTTGGCTGCAAGGTAAAAAGAGGAAGATTCTTTAACAATGGAGAAATATAAAAGAGGAGATGAAGCAAAAATTAAAGAACTTAATCTATAAATTGAAAAATTGACTGTTGAGGTTAGTAGGAGACAAAATGAATTGGATAGAGAAATAACAGAAACTCAGACAGCATAAATTGAATTGGATAAGACAGCTGAAGAATTTAGACGATAACATGATGAACGTCATAAATTATTTTAACAATGGTAAGAAGTGACAGATAATATTGCAAGAAGAGATTAAGCTATTAGAGATGAATCAGAAAGATATGCTGATATTAAAGCTTAGATTAAAGCTAATTAATAAGATTTGGAAAATAGAAAATCTTAATTGATGAATGAAAAGTAAGAAAATAAATCAGTTGAAGTTTAAAATTAATAATTAGAAAGAACTATCATTTAATAAAGATAATCAAATAAAGATATTGAATTAGCCATAGATAATCTTAAGGCAGATGTAGAAATTTAAAAGAATCAATTATCTGCATTTGCTACTGATTTATCAAATAAAAGGAATAGATTAGCATAGATGTCATAAGAACTTTTAATTAAAAAATAAAGATTGAATAATGCTTAAAAGAAATATGCTAGTGAAAAGTAGAAATTGAAATTGGAAGATATTTAACACTAAGAATTTGAAAAGTAAAGGAGTATGGCATCAGATAGATATAAGAATTTAGAAAAGTAAAGAATTGATTTGGATAAAGAAATTAAATTATAAAAAGAAGTCTTATTCAAAGCTACTTAAGATTTATTCAAATTAAGAGAAAATGAAGCTAATTTATATGGAGAAATACAAGCAAATGTAAGTGCTTGTCGTAATTATTAAGCTCATATCAATAAATTAATTTAAGAATTTTAAAGATAATAAGAATTATTATATAATGCAGAATATTAGATATAATTGATGGAAAGAAGAGTAGCAAGAGCCAAAGGAGAACGTACTTTGGAAGAGAAGAAGGATTTGGAAAATGAAATTAAAGAAATTGAGGAGAAAGTTAATTTATAAAAGAAAGAATATAAAACATTATTATAGAGTTTGAAAAGACTTGATGATGACTTAAGAGGAACAGATAGACAATTAACTGGTACTAAAGCATCATAAAATAAATTGAAATAAACTATAGATGAATTAACCTTAGAAAATGATATGACTTATTAAGACTTGAGTAAGATTGTAAAGTCAAAAGAAGAAGTGTTGGTTTAACATGATTTTATGAAATTAGAAATACAAAAGATATAAAAAGTAGTAACAACTGCTGTTGATAAAGTGTTTAATTTAGAAAATCGTAAATATTAATTAGAAATGGCTATGCAAGAAAGAGAATAAGAAATTTAAGTGCATAAGGATGTATTGGTGGCTGAACATAAGGCAGCTGAAGAAGAAAGACATAAAATTGCTGTTGAATTAGCCGAGAGATAAAATAGAGTGAAGAATCTCAGAATCAAATATGAATCATTAGTCTAAAAGAATAAATCTTCTAATGGAGAGTAAGACACTTAAAACATTGAAGAACATTCATAAGCATATTACATTATTAAGGCTTCTTAAGAAAGAGAAGAATTATAGAGGAAAGGTGATGAATTAAATGCTGAAATCATTAAGAGAGATTAGGAATTAAAGGCCTTAGATAATACATTATCTCATCTTAAGAATAGAAATAGTAAATATAGGGATAGTTTCTTAAATAAGGGTATTTCTTAGAAAGAAGTATCTCATAGAGATGGATTAGAAGAGTAATGTAGAGCAGCATCTGAAAATCTATTTAAAAAGAAAAAGGAATTACAAAGATTATAATAAGAGATAGATGAAGATATGAGAAGGTTGACTGAAATATAAAATAGAGTATTTATAATTATAAATATTTATTCTAGATTGAAATTCTTGATAATCAAGAGAGGGAAGTGGAAATGTAATTTTAAAAAATGGAAAAAGAATTGCAAGATTAACAAGAAAAAATTAGTAGAGCTGAAAACATTATGAATTCTAAATTAGCAAAAGTATAATAAAAAAGAATTGTGCTTGATGAATCAAATGCACATATTTCTGCTTTAGAATTAGATATTTAAAATAATTTAAATAAGACACTAAAGACATGCATTTTGTAAAATTTCATAAACTATTAATCTCTTAAGTAATTTAGTCTAAGAATTTCCAGAAATGCAAGCCATAATAGATGCTGTCTTTTAGGAGAAAAATGTTACTGTTCCTAGTAAACAACCCTCATCCGTTGGAGTTCCCTCTGTTAGATCGTCTGTACGTTCAGCTTCTTCTCAGGGCAGAAGATGATTATGATGATATTAATAAGTAATTAAACAAAAAAATGTACCTTAAAAGTATAACTCTTTAAGAAATACAATCTCAAATAGAAACACTCAAATAAAAATTATAGGATGTTAATAAAAATACTATTTTGCATTTAAATGATTAGAGTTTATAAATTTATAGGATATAAAATTAAATGGAATTTTTGAGATTGAAACAAAAAAATGTATTGTAGTAATGATAAACTTAACTCTGGAAATATAGAAACTTATCTCATCACAGAAATCAAACCTAAATTATCCACAACAGAAATATCATCTAAATTATTGCCAATAAAATTTAAGATTAATTAATGATAACTTAATATTCATCTCTATGAATTTATCCTTACTTTCTATATTCTTTATATTTCTTTCAATCTTAATTGTTTGAATAACTAAACTAAAAAAATAAATTACATCTTATTTTTATTATAAATTTGTGCAATCTATTTCTGGAGATACTGACTTTGAATTTTAAATCATAAGCTTTTATTTAACAAAGTTTTCAACTTTCTATTCAAAACAGGTTCCTTTATCTAATTATGAAGTTCTTTAAGTAAATGGTTTTTTATAATTAGATTCTAAATTTTATTACGAATTGCTAATGCTATTATTGGAAGGAATTGTTTATTTGTTAGTTAAATTGAAGAAGAAAGACTACTAGGAGTTTCTTCTGGAAGTATTGGCATGATTACTTTACAAACTCTTTTTTGGTTGTTAAGAAGGTATAATAAATTAATCTTCTGATCTTAATTACTTTAACAACTTCTTATAAATCTTTTAAGAATCTTCCTCTGGTTGAGCTGATAATCTTTTCTTAGAAAATAATGTCTATTTTTAATCATGTAAATTAGTCATTGCTCTCTATCTCAATCTTGAAGTACTAGATTCTTGAAGATTGCTAATTGATTCAATTTTATCAAGTGATTTAACTTAATGGAGTCTAACAATATCTTCGATAGTGGAAAAAGCTTTAAATTCTTATAAAAGAGAAGGTTTAGGATTCTCCTAATCGAGAAGATGAAATAATTTTTATCCAGCTACTTCAACATATAATTTAGGCTGATTGCTTTTTTGTTAAGTCTCCTCTTTTAATTTACTTAATTCTTATGTCAATCTATCTGAATTTAATTTTGAGAATTCAAACCTTTACATAGTAATCTTATCCCTTTCTGAAGTTTAAACTCTTAAATCAATAGGATTATTGTTTTTCAAATGAAAACTATTGTCCTGTTTATTGGCAATATCAATAGTAAAACCAGAACCTAAATCAAATCTAGCCTCAGCTGCTCCATTATACCATCCGTTAATTGCCCCAGATAGTAATTTATTAGTCTTCATTATTCTGTAATCAGCAGGACCGTCAAATTGTCTAGTACTATCAATTTTACAGAGTCTTCGCATTCCAAATTGTAAAGCTGTCTTTCTATCTACATTCTAAGTTGTGGAAGAATGAAGTAACTTACATTCTCCTTCAAAAAGAGGAAATGTATTGCTCTATCAATTGGAGCAGGATCAGTTGGTCTATCTTTAAACTTCTAACATTATCCAAAAAAGGCCACCTTTTATTATTCATATTGCAAGTACTTCCTCTTTTGCTGCTACTTTCAACGCATCCTCATAATTCATTCTTTTTCTTGTAGGAGCCTTTTTTTTCATTTAATAAAAAAATTGAGTTCTGAAAGTGAATGTCCAATTGAATTTAAAAGAGATTCTAAATGTTTCTTGAATAATTGGAGTAGTTTAGGTTAATCGAAATCTATAAATTCTTCATTTTCCTAAATCTCTTTTGAGATATGCTTATGAGAAACAGAAAAAGATTATAATGAATCTCACATAGCTAATTTCAAAAGAAAAATTAGAGGATAGTAAGGAACATATTTTCTTTCTTAGTGATAATGAGTACATATAAAATTACAGCGATATAATTATATCGCAAGTATGTATGATCTCCAGATCAAACTAAAAATGTATCTTATTTAATATAATTGTCACTCATTTTTGAATATCAAAGAAGAACAATTTATATACTATTATCACTAGAATTGCAGTAATAATTCAAGAAAATTTCGAAAAAAATCTTTTTTATTTTGAAACTCATAAAATCTGGAGCAATTTTGATTTATTTTTCATCTATTCATAATGATGCTTTTCAATTTTCAAATTAAATTATAGATAGCTAATAGATTGCTTATAATTGATAATTGATTCCTTTGATTGTTTCCCAAATTTTCATGAATTAATTGATTTTAGTATAACAATAGTTATAAAATGACATCTAGTGTTACTTTACAAAGTTTATAATATATTTAGCATTTACTACATATAATATAATACTTAAGAACCCAGGTTTACAAAATTTGAACACTTCAAAGAATTATAAATTGATTCTATTGATTCAATACAATATAGAAATAATTTGAAGTACCTTATCGGATAAAATAAGGAATAGAGAATCTTAGTGAAATTTTGAATTTTAGATACCAGATAAATACAACCAATATTGTTATAATGGGGATGTAATCGAAAATCATTAGATTTTTAAAATGTAAAGGCAAATGTTACTTTATTGAAAGAGTATGATTGTGTAATAAAAATTATGTAAACTTTATTTCAATAATAATATCTTAATATTCACAAACTTATATATATGACATTTGATTAAGTTTCTATCTATTTAGAATGAATTAAAATATTTAAAATTAATTTGATATTTTATAAAATTATCTTATTTTTCATTTATATTAAAGTTCTAGAAAATTCTTAATGTTAAAAATAGTTTCAACAATACCTTTTAATATATTTTATAATCCTACTTTAATTTTTTATTGTTAAATATATCAAAATAGTTTTTAGTTTAGACCATCACTAACTATTTATCACTAATAAAAGATATTATTTAATGTTATTTTAAGTGAATAAAAGTTCTTTTGCTTATTAAAATTAAATAAAATACTTGCTTAATATGAAAACAGAATGCTTATACAGTTCTAATAACAATTCTTTGATGAAAAATCAATTACTTAAAAAAAGAAGACAAACTTTTACATAATATACCACATCTTCTGAAACAAAGGAAGAATTTTTAAACAGATAAAAAGATTACGATAAATTATATAAATACTCCTACAATGTTGAATAGATCCCAAAAAATATCAAGTAAAAACACCATTCTAATCGTGCCAATGAAATTACATAATAAATAATTGAAAAAAGGGAAAATTATGGGAAATATTTCCTTTATAAAGACCATCAATTAGAGCAATAATAAAGATCAATTGAAATTATAGCTGAACTTTTAAGGAAATAGAAGAAACTTATAACCGATAAATAAATTCCAATAGAAAATCAGAGAAAATAATATAATTTGATAATGATCCTAGTGATTGTCTTTCCTATTCTATGCATTTTGACTGTTATGGCTGAGCTTTGATAAATAATATATAAAGTTTATATCTATATTTTTTAATATATCTTAAACCTATCTTATAATACTAATACATCTTTAATTAATATTATATATGAAAAGAACCTATATAAAAGAAAATTTAAATAAAAGAAAAATTGAAAAATTGTAAAGAATAGAATAAAACCTCAAACTAGAGTTAATTTAAATTATCTGTGTTTATCATAGATATCTATAAAATTATAAAGATTTATTAAATAAAATAAAATTTCGATAAACTTAAATTTGGTTGACTATCAAAACAATAGAAATTTTTTTAAGTAATTCTTTATTATTAATATAATGAAACATTGGTTGTCTCAAAATAAATTAAATCTTACATATTAAATTAGAGCATATTTTAGAATAACTAATTATTATTAATTTTTCATAATTAAATATTAAATATTAATAATATATTTTTTCTGCTTTTTTTTTAAAAATCTAAAGAGTTAAAAACAATGTATATTTTTTATTTCTAACATTTGTTTTGAAAAAGCTATTTGGAAATACTATTTATTAGTTCAACTAGTATTTAGTGTTATTTAAAGAATAATAATATTTTAAATACAAGAAAACTCATTATATTAAAGAAAACATAAACAAATCATTTCCAATTTGAAGGAGGCATTCCTTTATTTTTTTTAATTCTCATTTCAGGTTAAAAGGTGGCTATGTATCTATTGTAAGTGATTTCATCTATAATGACATCATATTCTATGATTGTAGGATCTCCTTTCTTAATAGGAGGTATTTATATTTCATTCATAACTCCTGAAATGTTTCCATTCTCATATAACCATTTAAGTCTTTCAAAATGTTAATCTATATTATATTTGATTCTGTATAGTTTCTTATTCATTATTTGATTAGATTTTTCCTCCATAACTTAAAGCAACCTTTTGATATTAATATTCATCAATGCACTTATAGGTACTATGGGATAATCCTAAGATTCAATAAATTCATAATCTATTGGATAATTCATCAAATCAATTTTATTCCATACTTCAATCTATATTAATAATTAGAGAATACCATTTTCTTATTATAGAAATCTTAATTAAATCCTAATTCTTTAAGAACATCAAGGACAACTTATTTTTATTATTCTGTACATGGATGAGATATATCTCTAATATGTAATACTATATCAGCATCTTCAACTTCTTCTAATGTAGATTTAAATGATTCTACTAAATCATGTGGTAGATCAGTAATGAATCCAATAGTATCTAACATTATTGCTTTCTATCCAGAGGCTAATCGTATAGATTTTGAGGTTGTATCTAAAGTTTAAAAAAGTAAATCTCTACTCTAGACTACTTCCTTTTATAATATACAATTCAATAATTAAGATTTACCAGCATTTGTGTATCCAATTAATGCAATTCTGGGAACAGTGTGAATGAGTTTTTTACGTTTAATTTTAGATCTTTATTAACTTTCTTCATCAATAAGTTTTTTGACTTTTGCAATTCTATCATCTATAAGTCTTCTTTATAATTATAATTCACTTTCTCCTGATCCACTCATTTTACCTAAAGCTCTTCTTTATTTAGCTGATACAACTTCAACATAAACCTCTTTAGCCATCATTAAATCTCCTTTAAAGATTGATGAAAGTGAAACAAAGGCACTTCCACTTCTTACTAATTTAGTTTTTGCAAATTTAAGAAATGATAATTCAATTTATAATCTAGAAACACCTTATGTTGATCTTTTAGCAAATATTTATAAAATCATTGTGAATCTATCAAATACTTTTACTGAGAGACCTTCAAAATCATTATCAGATTCAATTTCATCTGTAATAATAGCTTCATTATTATCAATATTTTCATTATTATCTTCTTTAATTACAGATGTTATTTCTCCTTTTGAATATTGAGTCCATAATTTTTCTAAATTTCTAGTTTATAATGGTGTTAATTCATGATTTATAAATACAGCATTAATCCTTTTAGATTATATATGTTATCCTAACATGGCAAGTTTACCTTTTGTAAAGAATGTTGTTGAATGAATCCTAGGTACTTTGACTAATGATGATTTTGCTATTGAATTTCTAATAATTTTATTTCTCCATTCATGACCTAAATCATCTTCATTTATTTGGAAATCTTTTTGTTAATTTTATTCTTATGATTAATTATCTTTATCCTCTTCATCAATTTTACCTTAACTTCTTCTAATATCTTGAGTATATTCATCTTTCCAAAAAGGTCCTTATTCTAAAGTCCAACTTAATGATTTTGATAAACCTATAGCTTCTTCAGCCATATACAATTCTAATTCAGGTCCCTTATTAGGATATAAGACAGGATGTAAGACCATACAATTAACAGGTTATGAATTAAGTTGTTATTTTGGAGGTGTAGATTTTGCAAAATCGAGAATTTCTTTTGAGAATCTATACTTAACAATGATGTTACTTAATCTCTTAATAAGCATATATTAATTAATGAACAAATTAATATTTCCGATTGATAACGAGAATAATGAGTTCTTTGATGAAGATGCTATTTCTAAGTCAACAATTTAAGCAGTGAATAATTCATTTGATAAAGAACAATTAGATGAATAAATTGAAAGACCATTCACACCTGTAGATGCTTAAATAGAAATGATACCAAAAGAACAATGTCCTTATTGCAAACGTTAATTCTTTTAAGGTCGTTTAACATTACATTTACTTATGTGTACTATAGAACATCCATTTGTAAAAAAATCAAAGAAATAAAAAACATAAGAATTACACACATAGCCTACTTTATAACCATGTCCATATTGTCATAAGAAATATAGAAATCTAAAAGCACATACATGTTAAGCTAGAACAAAAGCATTGGATAAATATAAAGTAGTTGCATAAATAAATGAAGAAGAAGAGGCAGATGAAACTTTGGTATAGGAACTATCATCAAGTCAACCATCATTTCTACCAAAAATAAAATAAAGAGTTGAAAGTATATTATCACGTTCAGTACCTATTGCTAAATGTCCTACATGTTAAAAGACATTTGAACAAAAAGCATATGAAAAACATATACAACTTTGTATACGTATGAATAGTGGAAATAAATTTCAACGTAGTATATTCTGTACTAATTGTGGTAATAAATTTGCCAACAATCATAAATATTGTGGTTCATGTGGTAAAAAAAGACTTTGATAATTATATA